GGTTGTGGGTCACTCTCTGCTCTCTGTAGAGCTGGGCTTTCAACTTTGCAACACGAAAAGATGCTTTGATGCTGTTGCTGATGGACTCCAACCTATCAGAAACAAGACAAGAGAGAACAAAGATTATTTTTTTTAAAAGGTCAAGATATGACTCCTCAGCTAAAGAAACACCTAAAATAGAAACTGCCATAAACATTTCTAAATCTGGTTTCTAAACTCTTACTGCTGACCACAATAGCATGCTACTGTATGATAAAAACATCAAGAGGTATGAATACTACTGTGGAAAAAAAAAAAGCCTGCCCCTTATACTTAGGATAGGGGAAAGGGATCATAGGGTTCTGTGTAGAGGAAATTGATACTAAATATATTTTTTAATAAAATGGAGATGTTCTAGTATCTTTTATAGCTCCAATCTTCACCATTAGAGACAAGCTCAGCCCACTTGCACATCTTCTAAGTCACATAAGAAATTTAAGGTAACAAATTGGACATGGAAATGAAGACAAGATACCTATAGGTAGGCCCAAAGAACATGCGTTGGGGGTGTGTTTTTTTTTTTATTGTAAGCTTCTACAGGCCTAATGTTTTTGTTTGGGTTTGGTTTGATTTTTTCCCTTCCTTTGCAAGAGAAAGAAAGAAAGAAGAAGAGTAACATTAATAGATGACATAATAAAAAGGAATAGAAAAAAATGATAATTCCAGATCATTTCAGCAACTGTGACCTAAGAAAGGAGCATTCCGAGTGTGGCTCAAAACCACCTGAGACAGGTATGAGGAAAGAATATCTAACGTTGTCCCACACATGAGTAGTAAACAACTCAGGAGTTCTTTAGGACTGCCAAGCTTGGGCTCAGAACACTGATCATAGAACGACTTGGCCTTGGATTTCTTGGAACAGTTTCCCTAGACGATGACAGGGAAATATAGGACATGTAACACATCTGAACACAGGGTTCCTCCCTCCAGCCTGTGGGTTTCCAAAAGCTTAGGATTTGGGAAGAGCTGTGCCACAAAGCTGCTCAGAGCCACTGGGCAGGGTTTGGAAACTAGACAGCCTTTTGGAATGGCATTGGCTCTCCCCAAATGCATTTCCCTATTTAAAAAGTAATGGTAGGAATAAACCCGAAAAATAGCATATCCTGATTCTCACCAACCCTACCGAATGGCTTAGATTTTTTCCTTCAGTCGTTTGCATAACTGCTACTTTTTTTGAAGAACTCAACTGTGCCTGACATTTTGAGTTTAAAGAAAACAAATGTTCTCTTCCTGAAACGAGTTTTAATTTCACAAGGAACATGTGAAGTGCTTGGACACAGAGAGGGAAAGACTGAAGATGACCAAATGACACAGCTATCTGTGGATTTTTGTTTGGAAAAAAATCTGCCTATAGACTGACTAGTGTTGGCTGAAGCATAGTGGGCAGAAGTGGGCATTCAAGGCCTGCACGAATGTATTTGGGAGGGATTCCCTTGTTCTGTTCAATCTACACACCATTAAGATCTCCTTTGTCATTTTATTCTAAGCTTTTTCCAGCTTCCATAAGAAGTTCCAAGTGATTAAGTCATTAGCACGTGTGGTCATAAAAAAAAGACCTCATACCTTCTCATTTTTCTTCCTTCTACCAACTGCTGATGGATACACTTCTTTCCCAGTTTGGAACACCCTTTTCCTTTCTTGTGGTTACTCCAGTCTTTCTGTGTACTGTCTTGTACTCTGTTAAAACACAAGGAAAAAAATTTCCATCAATGATCATTTCAGATTCACTTGAACTGTCAATGTCTCTGCCTTTCTCTCTCTCTTCCTCTCCAAAGCCAGAAGCTATCTTCCTAAGAAGGAGGTCAGGTGTCTGTACTATGGACTGAAAAGCAAAGGTGTTTTGACTCACCTGAGTTCTTTTCCTGCTTGGCAAAAATTCCAGCACTTCTTGTCTTTTTGGTTAGCACATTGGCATCTGTTCATGTGGTCTGCTGCCTTCATAGGGAATAAATCTTTCAAGGATCGCTTAGACCTGGAAGGGCTTCCAAGTCCATAGGGAACAACATGCCTATTGTAGAGAGATAGGAATACAAATTATTACCATAAATAATCTTCCAAATGATACATTCTTTGGGGATAGTTCATGCTACTGGGTATACAAGGAGCTAGTCACAAATCTGTTGAGAGCATAACTTAAGGCAATAAGTGTGACTGTAATCAGCAACAGGTCCCTATCAAAGGCCTTCAATGGGTGTACCCATTAGGGAAGAAATCAAGTTTCTCTGCAATGAAATTTCATTCCATAGCAATCATTAACAAAGTTTAATCACCTAGCAATATTTTTTGTCCAAAATAATTACATCTCTATTTTAGTGTGTGTTTTGCATTTTCTTCCTTCTAATATGCTAGCTGGCTAACAGCTACTTAAACCAAAGGTCGGAGAACAGATATACTTTAATGTGAAACCATGACTCAGAACATTTTTTCAAACCTATTTTCAATTCTTATCATAAATGATAATGCTAAAAGAGCTTGCCGGGAAAAACCAATATTTTCACATTTCCTCCATGGATTGATGAAATCATATTGCTATGGAAGGACTTGTGGCCAAAAGGCTGCCCAATAATTCATAATATGACATAAAGAATAAAGTCAGCTGGGTGCTGATGGCTTACATCTATAATCCTAGCTACTCAGGAGGCTGGCATCTGAGGATCGAAGTTCACAGCCAATACTTGGCAGAAAAGTCCGTAAGAGACTCTTATCTCCAATTAACCACTCAAAACCTGGAAGTGGAGCTGTGGCTCAAAGGGGTAGAGTGCTAGTCTTGAACAAAAGAGCTCAGGAACAAAGCCTAGGCCCTGAGTTCAAGCCCCACAACTTTTAGGAAAAAAAATAATAATAAAGTCTTTTGGGAAGTATTATCTTTCAAAGCACTATTAGGCTCATGGTATTTAGGTTTGATGTACTTTTGTTTGGATTTTGGTGTTTTGTCATAGTGAACATGGTAAGCACAATATCCTTGCTTATGACAAATATTAATGGAGGATCTAGTGCTTGGAGCAAAAGAGAAAAAAATTGCCTATATTTGTCAAAAGAGAAATCTATAGACTTTATATTTATATTTCTGTCTTGAAATTGGGTTTTCTAAAGAGAAAAAGTGAGGAAAAAAGAGATCTAGAATCCTGTTCAGTTATACCAGGAAATCATTCCTGCAGGACAGATTTCAACATTATGGGCTTTAGTTTTTCTATAGATAAAATAAAGGGATTGGATTGTGACTGCCTGTGATCTTTTCTACCTCTCCACCTGCATGAGACTTGGGTAATTAATTTCCTGAACCTAGTGAGATCGCACCATGAAAGCACCCTGCCAAGCGTGCATAGCTTCAGCTTGCCCTCAGCGTTTTCCATCTACCCCATAATGATTAAGTAGTGTGAGCTACAGACATCAGAAAACCCTCTTCTTAACTGCTAAGAAGCAAACAATGCTGCCCAAGTACCCTACTAAGGTGCTATTCTGTTGTCAGAAGAGCTACTATCAGAATCCAAGACAGAAGCTCCCCAGAACAAGAGCTCTAGGAACTGCTCAGCTAATGAATGACTATAGAGTTATGATGCCCTCTAGAGACTCACTCAGGAGTGTTGACCCAGATGATGTCCAAATGGCAGAAGTAGACACACTCCTTATCCATGAGGGAAGAGCAGGAGCAGCGTTTGGATCTGCGGGGCCGCCAGGGCTCACTGGGAGGGGGCTTCTCCCCTCTGCTCGGTGCTCCAGTGCTAAGCTTAGTCCCCAAGGCCCCTGTGGAGAGAAACGCCAGTCAGTCAGTGTGTGATGCCCCCTCAGAGACATACCGGATCAGAGAATATCCACCCAAATCTAGCAGAGCTGTCAGTTCAAAGCGTGAAGCTGCCCTTGGCAAGCAATGCAAACAGAAGGAAAGGGCTATTTATTTATTTTTCTCCTTAACAGGGCTTCACCTTTCCCCTGGCTGGCTTCTCCACCTGTAGGGAGGTTATACAAATGCAGAAGAGACAAACCCCTGGAAAAAGGTCTTAGCAGCCCCTCTTCAAGGACATGCCTGGAAATGCTGCCTTTTGGAGAGCTGAGGCCACTTCTGCTGGACACTTAGTAGGACCACCTAACCCACAGTGGGTTCAAATCAGTGAATGACTACAGATTAATAACTGATACTGCCCATTCCTAGAATGGGAGGCACTTCCATTCCATCCTGCTTGAGGGGGTGCTCTCTGCTGCACACCTCGTGCCAGACACAGAGTGCCCCAAAAGATACACACACACACACACACACACACACACCCCTCTGCAAATCATGTAGAAGGCAGAGCACCAGGGAATGACCAGCAGGGGAAAGAGAAAGTGACTAGGAGATGCATCTCTGGTGGGAGACTCCACAGAAACCACTGGGGATGCTGAGAAACAACCCAAGCCACCCAGTTAGGACTCCATGAAGTGTGAATTCAGAGACCTTAGAGCAGCATAATGTGTGTGTGTGTGTTTGTGGGGGGAGGGGACTACCCCTGTCCCTCAGCCCTGATACAGCTGTGTCTTGCCATTGACTAGTTACCAATACAGCCTATCTGCCCGATTTGGGACATTTCAAATGATTGGACACATTCCAGGATCTTCATTCTTTTGGCATCCTTTCTCTTTGGTCAGGGTCAAGAAAGGACAAAGGAAGAGCGTTGACCCTGGAAGGAAGGGGAGGCAAGGCAGTAGGCCGATGCACACATGCTATCTAAATCCGTAAGCAGCCAGCTCCCCTCCCGGGACAGGTGACTACAACTGAAAAAGAAAGATCGCACTGCTTTGACTGCCAAAAATCTGCCAAAAGAAACCCAAAGTCAATAATGACAAATTTTAAAGAAAACATCTGCTTCACCCTGAAACTGCCTGGGGTTATATATATATATATATACAACATGCATTTTGCAGGTGAGTCTACTGTTCTTATATCACTTTAATGACCTGGATAAAATTCCTTGGCTTTGAGCTAAAATGTTTCAATATTTTACACGTTAGCACACAATTAAAGCAGTGTTTGAATAAGATAAAAGTTTCCAAGTGCACCATGTTACCGCATTACCTGTATGAATACACGTATTGTAAACTAAGTTATAGCTGCCTTATATCCTTCTTGAGTTATTTTTTAAACCAAGGAAATGCATCCTGGAATAATAGTAAGGATAACGATGGTGATAAAAAGTTATTTTAAATCTCCCTTGTATTTAATTGCAGTCAATTGTATCCAGTCGAAGAATTTTATTTTTTTTTCCACCGGAACACTCAGTAGATTTGAGCAATACTTGCCAGGCGCTCTCTATCTCAGCTACACTAACTTATAAAGAAAAAGAAAAATCCAGAAGATGGATCAGAAAAGAGATTTCCAAATCAAGCCGTGCCTACCTGTGTCTGGAGCTCCGTGGACAGCCAGAAACAGCAGAGGGAAAATCATGGAGAAACAATCCATGCTGGGGGGAAAAAAAATCAAAAAGGATCACACTCTGAGCCCAAAGGAAAATGAAGAAAACAGCGTCCGTTTGCTCCAAGCGCTGGTGGTGGTTGCGATCACCGGGTAAAAGCCTTCCGTCTAAGTGTCTTCTCAGAGGAGAAAGAGCGCTTTCTGCCCGGGGAGGGCCGGCGGCGAGAGCTGAGAGCCGGCAGCGAGCGAGCGCGCGCACGCGGCGCGGTGCGGAGAGGCAGCCGCGGACCCGGAGCGCTCGCCCTGGCGCAGTTGGAGAAGCGCGTCTGACTTGGACAGCGCTCCGCTGGCTTTTTATATTGAACCCCTATAGAGTGGGGGTAAACAGGTCCAACTTTATTCCAGCCTTAGACAATGTTATTGTGCTATTAGTCACCAAAAGCCAACGTGCAGCCGGAGATAAGGCTAGGCTCGAAAGGAAATCACTGCTAACTTCAGAGGCAGACGCCCGCCGTCTGACAATTCAGGGGGCAGGGCTATGAGAAAGAAAATACCCATTAAAGACCTTTAGTAAACCTGCCCGTGCAGTGCTGGAGTCTACTTCCCCTTCCAAAAGCTGCCAGCCCGAGTTCAAGAATCAGAAGAGGCTCTCCAGAAGGAAAAGAAAAAAAAAAAAGTCATACCATTGGTATGAAAAGTATGAGCTACAATTTCAATAGATTGTATTGTGTGCAGGGGATTTTTTTTCATTGTTGTTTGCTTCTTTTTCCTTTTACGTCTGTCTGATTTCTTAGTCTTGATCAAGCAAGAGGACCCTCTCCCTTTTTATTCCCCCTCCCAAATTATTTTGGCCCACCAATGTATTTTTAACTTCAAGGCCCTCTCCCCCTCCCAGGCTTTTTCTTTTTCTTTTTTTTTTTTTTTCTTTTTTCCTAAAGTTTTTTTGCATCTACCCTGAGAGAGATCAGGGAGGGAATTGGCAGGAATGGAAACTAAGAAGAAAGCCAAGCGATCTATCAGGCATATACTCAGATCTGCCCCGCCTCCCTCAGTATCCCTGATTAGAAGAGACCCCCCCCCAAGCACAAACACACTTCTTATATGAACCCCCTCTTGCCCTGGCCATGGCCCATTGTCAATACCAAGATTTAAAGAAATGACAGGAGAGGAACACCAGGGGGAGATGGAGAGCTACAGGGGCTGATGTTTATTTATTAGGCCAAAAAAGTAAAAGCCTTGACTTTTCAAAACCATGGAGGAAAGAACTGGTGACCAGAAATGAGGGAGGGAAGGGAACAAGCCTGTAACATAGAAAATCCAACTATTTCAGATGACTCCACTGGCCCCCTGACATGGGCACAAATTCCCTAAGGGAATCCAACCCCCCCCCCCAACCACCTGTTGGCTTCCTCTTTCAGGGCAAAAGGGTGTTCTGATACGGCGCTATGTGAATACACAGTGTGGACAGTGTTGGGAAGACGGAAATTGTCATGTGAATAATAGGATCAGATAATACCTCACATTTAATAATGTGTTTACATTTTCCAAACAATTTCCTGTCTATCTAACCTTAGAATAACCCCCCCCTCAGATGCCCACAGCACAGTTAATGTACAAGTGACAACACGCCTTAATGAATAAAGCCAAACACACATAGAACATGTTTCTGACTACTTCAAGAGCCCCACTTTTCAGGCGAGAAACGAAGGAGGGAGGGGGATCAGAATGCATAGCGACATCACCATCTTCCCAGCCTGCCCCGGAGAGACCTACAGTTCTCTTCCCTGCACTGGGAAAAGCTGAGTTTAGGCCAAGACTTCTTCCAATTCTTATTTTGCTCAGGTTTTCTGGTGTGTGTGTGTATAAGGTGATGTGTGTGGGGGCGGAGGAGGTGGATTCCAACAACACAGGAGGATCCCACCGCACAGTTTCTTCATTTCTAGAATCTAAAGGACAAGCTTTATCCTAACACAGAAGCTGTGGACTTGCAACATTTTTAGGACCCCCTGGACCACCCTGGAGATGCCAGTCAGTGAGCCACGATGGCAGGGTCAAGTCCCTAAGAAGATCTAGTCCCTGAAAAAGCTTCTGCAGTAAGACCTGGAGAGGGAAAAGGCAGGAAGCCTCCCTTCCCACACCCACGTGCACGCACGGAGATACCTGGGGATGATGCCCAGCGCCTCTGCCCAAAGCTCTCAGCCTCCGCCTTGCTTACCTCAGCCCAACCCTGGGGCCCAGGGTGGCCACAGCTCCCCCCAGAACTGGGCCCAAGCAGGAAGCTAGCTTTGCCCGCCCCAGCTCTGGCAGAGGCCTTGAAAAGAGCTGATGTCACATTCACAAGCTCCAAGCTTGTCAACTTCTGCGCCCCCCCCCCCTCCCACTCCCAGGGAGAAAGGTGACTAGAAAATGTGTATTGAGGGGTACCTCCCTATCCCTCTCCACACCTTGTTTCCTTAAAAACCTTCTGCCAGGTTTGACTAAACACTGTCAGGGCCCGTGTGTCCCCAGCCCCTCCCTGGAAACGACCTCCTCCCCACTCAAGTATCTTTCTGTGTCCAAGCTTGGGCCATCTTCCAGTTGGGATGGGGCCGCTGCCTGCCCTCCCCGCCCCCCATCTTAACCCACAGGTGACCTAAGCACCAGCCATCAGGTGAAGAGGTGAAGCACAAGGAAACGGCCCACACACCTTCCCACCTCCTCTTTCCTCCAAGATGTCATCCTGGGAATGGATTCAGGAAGAGAAATTCAAACCTGGGCAGTGATCTGCCCTCCCCTGTTCCCCCTTTCCTCCCCGCTCCCCCAACTCAGTGAAAGGAAATCTCAAATACAAACCCGGGATTTCAGATTTGGGAACGATTTATCTCTCCAAGTTAAAATAAATGTGCCCTGGTTTTTTGCATCCTGATTTTTTTCAAGGTGTGTGTGTGTGTGTGTGTGTGTGTGTGTGTGTGTGTGTGTGTGTGATTCCTGGTCTCCTCTTTTAGTGACTTGGTAGAATCCTCACTCTGGCTCTCCTCAATACCACTTCTGTCAGCCCTCTTTCCTTCTAGATACCCAGAGAAGGCAGCTGTGGTGTTCAGCAGCGTCCTACAATGAAATCTTCCCAAGAACCAAGGGGAGGGGAAAAGAACCCCAACAAACCAGTTTTACAAACTCCCCCTGGCACCTTAATTAAGGCTTTATTAGACAGGGAAGTAGCAGAAGAGAAGGTCCAAAAGCTGGATAAAGAAATAAATATGGAAGTCAGGCACTGGGAGCTCACACCTGTAATCCTAGCTACTTAGGAGGCTGAGATCTGAGGATCACTGTTGGAAGCCAGCCTGGGCTGAAAAGTCACAGTGAGACTCTTATCTTCAATTAACTACTCAAAAACTAGAAGAGGAGATGTGGTTCAAAGCACTAGCCTTGAGCAAAAGAGTTCAGGGACACCACCCCGACCCTGAGTTCAAGCCCTACTACTGAAAAAAAAAAAAAAGAAAGAAAAAGAAATATGAAGAGCTTCTATGAAGGTGCCTTCCTGTTCCCCCATCCTTCCTCCCAAAGAAGAAAAAGGCTCTTCAGGGGGCCAATCATCCTCAGAAGGAAGGGACAATAGGAAGAGAAGAGATAAAGAAGGTTTCTCCACACCCCCCCCCCCAAAAAAAGAACAGTTTGCTGTTTCTTTTCTTGCTCTTACTCTTGCTTTTAGAATTATACTTAGATGCTGGAAACCTTGCTAACGTTATTTCTTAAATGTATTTCTTTCTGTATCTCTGGCTATGTATCAATAGCTATCTATAAATAAAACACCCTGAGCTCCAAATACAGATATTACACAGTAGCAAAATGTACTGTTTTTAGCCCTCTTCTCTTAACTTTTGCGTAATAAATCTTGCAGCTTTGCCAAGCCAATAAATTTGTTGTGAGATGTTGCTTTTTTTTTTTTTTTTTGCTCAAGGAAGAAAACAGCTATGAGGTTGCTGACAATGGAAACAAAGAAAAAAAGCAAAGCTAACCAGCTTATTGTAGTCAAGCTGAAGCTGACCACCCACCCCCAACCAGGCCTGGCTGGGCTGTGTGGGTGACTGTTTTACATTCTTACTTTGTCTAGCACTCTTGTGAAGTTCTCATTACCAGGCCCATCACACATGGCACACACCTAGAAGATATGAGCAGCACAGTTATCTTTGGATAGCCTAAATCATAATGGTAGATGTGGCTATGGTCAGGATAGATAATGCCACGTATTTTAAAAACTTATTGATGTGGGGTATACATGTAGCTTAAAAGACTAGGGCCAATCTGAGCACTAGTGGTTCATGCCTGTAATCCTAGCTACTCAAGAGGCTAAGATCTGAGGATCTCAGTTCAAAGCCATCCCAGTCAGGAAAAGTCTGTGAGACTCTGATCTCTAATGAACTACTAAAAAACAAAATAGAAATGGAGCTCAGGTTCCAGTGGTAGAGCAGTAGCCGTAAGCAAAAAAGCTCCTAGGCACCAAAAATAAATAGCAACAACAATAACAACAAAGACTAGGTCCAGTTCTGTAATGTAGCATTTCTCAAAAGCTCATTCATAAACCTCTTTCACAATGTTTGCCATATTACATGGCTCTTGTGTAATTTTGATAGTGTTTTTTCTATAGTCTTGTGGGGTTTTTTCACTTGAATAATTTAGAGAAAGATTTGTATCACTACAACCCAAAGCAATAACATATAAATGAAATCATGGTTGAATACATGCTAAACCTTTAATTATCATATGTTCAATAAGCTATCAGAAATGCAAATGTTCATACATACACAATCACCTCATGTGGTATGCTGTGGTTGGAACATGGCTTGCCCATTCTGAACTTCTAAGGGAAATTAACTCCCATTGTAGTGGTATTGGGAGGTGGGGCTTTTATATATGAGTAGGTCATAAAGAGGAATGATTGTTTTTTGCAGATTGGATATGGTGCTGCATGCATGTAACACCGCTACTTAAGTGAAAAGCAGGAGTGTTTAAAAAATAATTAAAATATAGAACACTGGAGAGTCATAACTCAAGTGTTAAGAGTGCCTGACTAGCAGGGTCCTTGTAACACACACACACACACACACACACACACACACAGAAGCACACTGTGTGTACGTGCTCTCACGATGAATGCCTTTCTCCCAGGAGTGTCAGCAAGTTGCTGTAAAGTAAGACTCATTGGAGTTTTATCTCTCATTTTTTGTCCACTTGCTCTTCTACTTTCTGCTGAGTTGAAGGCACATATA